TCCCATGGCAACTTTTTGTTTATTCTGAACAAATAACAATGATTACTGTACCTGTATTTACAGTCTGCAAACCCAAATAATGTGTATTACAGCTGTATACATATTAGATGGTTTAAATGTGGTGTAGAGGGGAAGTTGGTCCAAATATCCCACCTGCGTCAAATATACAACGTTTAAAGTACCCCAGAGTGAGTATTATTACGTATTATTATTATTATTATTATTATTATTATTATTATTGCCATCAACGTACTTTGTTGCCAGAGTTTAATCAGGGAGAGGATGAGTAATTGAGAGAGAGAGCAGGTGTGTCCAGAATGTAAACACAGACCTGAGAGAGAGAGCAGGTGTGTCCAGAATGTGAACACAGACCTGAGAGAGAGAGCAGGTGTGTCCAGAATGTGAACACAGACCCGAGAGAGAGAGCAGGTGTGTCCAGAATGTGAACACAGACCCGAGAGAGAGAGCAGGTGTGTCCAGAATGTAAACACAGACCCGAGAGAGAGAGCAGGTGTGTCCAGAATGTGAACACAGACCCGAGAGAGAGAGAGAGCAGGTGTGTCCAGAATGTAAACACAGACCCGAGAGAGAGAGCAGGTGTGTCCAGAATGTAAACACAGACCCGAGAGAGAGCAGGTGTGTCCAGAATGTAAACAAAGACCCGAGAGAGAGAGCAGGTGTGTCCAGAATGTGAACACAGACCCGAGAGAGAGAGCAGGTGTGTCCAGAATGTGAACACAGACCCGAGAGAGAGAGCAGGTGTGTCCAGAATGTGAACACAGACCCGAGAGAGAGAGCAGGTGTGTCCAGAATGTAAACACAGACCTGAGAGAGAGAGCAGGTGTGTCCAGAATGTAAACACAGACCCGAGAGAGAGAGCAGGTGTGTCCAGAATGTAAACACAGACCCGAGAGAGAGAGCAGGTGTGTCCAGAATGTAAACACAGACCCGAGAGAGAGAGCAGGTGTGTCCAGAATGTGAACACAGACCCGAGAGAGAGAGCAGGTGTGTCCAGAATGTAAACACAGACCCGAGAGAGAGAGCAGGTGGGGTCCAGAATGTAAACACAGACCCGAGAGAGAGAGCCAGGTGTGTCCAGAATGTGAACACAGACCCGAGAGAGAGAGCAGGTGTGTCCAGAATGTATACACAGACCCGAGAGAGAGCAGGTGTGTCCAGAATGTGAACACAGACCCGAGAGAGAGAGAGCAGGTGTGTCCAGAATGTGAACACAGACTCACATATATTGATTCGTGTATGTATACAGTTCGTTCATACATACTGACCCCTTTACAGTTATGTTCTTTTATACTTCTTACATTCACTGTTCTTCCTCTTCTTCCTACAATGCTCCTGCTGCATTAACACTACAAATATGTTAAGGTCACCCATGAGTGTAGTAATGTGTGTGTATTTCACTTTATTGTGTTCAATGTCTAGTTGTATTTTTACTGTTATAACTGGTGCAAAGACGACAAACAATATATAAACATGGTTGACACACTACCAGTACAGCTGCAAATACAGTGGACCCCTGCTTTATGACCAGCTCCCAATGCGACCAATTATGTAAGTGTATTTATGTAAGCGCTTTTGTACGTGTATGTTTGGGGGTCTGAAATGGACTAATCTAATTCACAATATTCCTTATGGGAACAAATTCGGTCAGTAATGGCACCTGAACATACTTCTGGAATGAAATAATATCGTAAACTGGGGGTCCACTGTATTAGTAAAGGGCGATTCCTTTTAACCCAACCAGTTACTCCCCGGGACCACTCTTAGCAACCTAATCGGTTTTTTTAATTTGCGACTCCTGTAAAAATAATTTTAATAATAAAAAATTTAATGTATAAATAATAAAAAATTTTTACAATATTGCACCTGGAGAAAAAACAGAAGTGTGAGGGGAGAGATTTTGGGAAATGTTGAGTAAATTTTGTAGGGGTTTTGAAAAGTGTGAGAGTACTTGTGGTTGGGGGATTTTCAATGTAATGTGGGTAAAAATGTTGTGGGGGAGTAGTAGGAAAATTTGGGGGCGGGGGGTAAAGAAAATGGGGAGCCTTTAAAACCCTTTTCGGGGTTTTCCCGACGTTTGTTGGCTTACGCCCGGGGGGTTTTGGGGACGTGTAAAAACGCCTAAATTCTAGCACCTTCGATCCAGTAAGAGGGGAAAACTGGTGGCAATATGAAAAAATGGGTCTTGGGTCAGTGTGCACGTATAAAAAAAAACCTGCAGCACACAGTGCGTAATGAGAAAAAAAAAAAAGACTCAAACCGGTTTTGGTTTAACCTTTTTGGGTTGGTGCCGACTAGTACGGTTTCGCAAGGGTTGGTGCCCTACTAGTAAGCTTGGCACCCGGGTTTGGGGCCGTATGTACGGCTTGCGCACCCGGGTTGGTGCCCTACTAGTACGGCTTGCGCACCGGGGGTTTTGGTGCCGTACTGAGGCTTGCCCCCGGGTTGGGGCCGTTTTCTATAGGCTTTCCACCGGGTTTTGGTTTCCGATAGTACGGTTGCTCACCGGGTTGGTGCCGATTGCGGGGTTGCCACCCGGGTTGGGCGTACTAGTAGGCTTGCCCCAGGGTGGTTTCCTACTGTACGGCTTGCGCCCAGGGTTGGTTTCCCTACTAGTAGGCTTGGGCCCCGGGTTGGTGCCCTACTGTCGGCTTTTCCCCCAGGGTTGGTGGGACTGTACGGCTTGCGCCCAGGGTTGGTGCCCCTATGTCGGCTTCGCACCAGGGGGGGTGCCGTATAGTCGGCTTGCCACCGGGTTGGGCCGTATGACGGTTGTAGGGGTTGGTGCGTCTAGTACGGCTTTCTCACCAGGGGTTGGGGCTTTTAGTACGGCTTGCTCACCAGGGGTTTGGGGCCTATGTGGCTTGCCACCAGGGTTGGTGCTGTACAGTCGGCTTGTCACCGGGTTGGTGCTGTTAGTATGGCTTGCACACCAGGGTTGGTTTTCCGTATAGTACGGCTTGTCACCAGGGTTTGGGGCTGTATAGTATGGTTGCACCCCAGGGTTTTTGCCCTCTAGTTAGGCTTGCGCACCGGGTTGGTGCTACTAGTCGGCTTGCGACCAGGGTTGGTCCCCGTTACTAGTAGGCTTGTCACCAGGGTTGGTGCTGTACTAGTATGGCTTGCACACCAGGGGTTGGTGCCGTACTAGTACGGCTTGGGCTCACCAGGGTTGGGTGCTGTACTAGTACGGCTTGCTCACCAGGGTTGGTGCCGTACTAGTACGGCTTGCTCACCAGGGTTGGTGCTGTACTAGTATGGCTTGCACACCAGGGTTGGTGCCGTACTAGTACGGCTTGCTCACCAGGGTTGGTGCTGTACTAGTATGGCTTGCACACCAGGGTTGGTGCCGTACTAGTACGGCTTGCTCACCAGGGTTGGTGCTGTACTAGTATGGCTTGCACACCAGGGTTGGTGCCGTACTAGTACGGCTTGCGCACCAGGGTTGGTGCCATACTAGTACGGCTTGCGCACCAGGGTTGGTGCCGTACTAGTACAGCTTGCACCAGGGTGGTGCCATACTAGTACGGCTTGCGCACCAGGGTTGGTGCCGTACTAGTACGAGCTTGCGCACCAGGGTTGGTGCCGTACTATTTACAGCTTGCTCACCAGGGTTGTGCCGTACTAGTACGGCTTGCGCACCAGGGTTGGTGCCGTACTAGTATGGCTTGCTCACCAGGGTTGGTGCTGTACTAGTATGGCTTGCGCACCAGGGTTGGTGCCGTACTAGTACGGCTTGCGCACCAGGGTTGGTGCCGTACTAGTATGGCTTGCGCACCAGGGTTGGTGCCGTACTAGTACGGCTTGCGCACCAGGGTTGGTGCCATACTAGTACGGCTTGCGCACCAGGGTTGGTGCCGTACTAGTACGGCTTGCGCACCAGGGTTGGTGCCGTACTAGTACGGCTTCACGCTTCCATATCTCGGTAAGTATTGATGGTAAAAATTTTTTGCTTAGCCTATAAAATTCAGAAAAAAAAAACACTATCTTTTCATAAGAAAAAATATTTTTTTTTTTTTAATTTTTACCGACCCTGAGAACAGGTTTGGGAGACGGCCTGCCGACCCTGAAAAGGTTAAAACAGGGACTTTGCACAGTATTTTCGTATGGTATTTATGGTTGTATTCTAGGTCTCATTTTATAGAATGGAAGACATATTACAGAGATTGAGATGATTTTGATTGGTTTTACAATGAAAACGACCTTGAAATTGAGCGCAAAGTAGCAGAAATGTTCGATTTTTATCAAAGTTCAAAAGTAAACAAATTGTGCCACGCGTCCAATACACGTCAACTGGTGAGTCTAATATTCTTTCACAAGTGCACCAATATTATTTATACCATTTCTACACCAATACAGTAGTCTGCATAACAGTAAATCTTCTATTTTTTGTAAGAATAAAAATTCAAAGTGGAAAGCAAAAGAAATGTAAGAGGGGCCTGGGGACGTGACTAATGAACAGAGGAAATGTTATTTTAGTGCCAGGAATGTCTGTCTTGTTTATTCTGGATCCTATTTGGAAATTGGCATCTTTTGATAAATTTGTGTGAAATTGGCAAAATTGTTAAATTCTGACCACTTTATTGGATAGTTGAAATTGGTAAATGGGTGGTTTCTTGCACTTATTCAAAAGAAATAATGGAGTTCTAGCAAAATAGTTATGATTTTTGTCGACTAGTACAGTGGAATTGGCCGAAAATAGGGCTCAAAGTGGGCAAAATGGCCGATGCGTAAACATCGTCGAGACCGCTAACTTCGCAAGAGCATAATTACCTAAGTTTTCCATCAAATTTCATACTTTTGGTGTCATTATGATCGGGAAAAGATTCACTGTCTTTTCATAAGAAAAAATAATTTTTTTTATTTTGAAATTTGGGCGACCCTGAGAACAAGTCTCGGAGAGGGCCTGGCGCCCCAAAAGGGTTAAAAAAAATTAAAAAGTAAAAATAAAATAAAATACAAAAAAAAAAGGCCTATAGCACGTACCTTTTCAAACCGGCCAACAGTTTGTGTAGGCCCATCTTTAATTTCTCCAAAAACCCATTGAAAAAGGGCCCGAAAAAAAATCAAAAAAGCAGTTTTAAGAAAGGGTATGGCTAATATAAAGGGCCTAGACTGCCCCCATGGATTCCCCAAGTTTTCATTTGTCATTGCATATAACCTAAAAATGTCTTAATCCCCTTTTGGGGCCAAAAAACACAAAGTTAAAAAAATTTAAAAATTTTGAAAAAAAGGGCCCAACCAAGCGGTTGATTAACCGGGGTAGACCCGTGCTCACCAGGGGTTTTAGTGACGGGTTTGGGGGTCGCAGCCTGGGTGTTAGGACTGTGTGGGTACCCGGGTGTTGTGGACTGGTGTGGGGCATCCGGGGGGTTTTTAGTGGACTGGTGGGGCACACCCCGGGTGTTATGGACTGGTGTGGGGGAAATTTTGGGGTTAGGGCGGGTGGGGGGTCAACCCTGGGTTTAGGGATGGGTGGTGCACCTGGGTGTTGGGGACGGGTGGGTCCACCGGGGTGTTAGTGGACGGTGTGGGGGGCTTTGGGTTTTAGGGATGGTGTGGGTCAATCCGGGGTGTTATGGACGTGTGGGTGGCATCCGGGGTTGGGGGACTGGTGGGGGCACATCCTGGGTTTGGGACTGGTGTGGGTCACACCCTGGGTTTTAGGGAGGGGGGGGTCACATCCGGGGTGTTAGGGATGTGTGGTCAATCCGGGTGTTAGGGGACTGGGGGGGGTTGCAGCCTGGTTTAGGGGGACTGGTTGGGTTGATCCGGGTTTATGACTGGTGTGGTTGCTTGGGGTGTTGGGGGTTGTGGGGGCATCCTGGGGGTTAGGGAGTGGTGTGGTTGCACCGGGGTGTTAGGGGAGTGGTGTGGGTGGCACCCTGGTTTTATAGACTTTGGGGGGTTGCATCCTGGGTGTTTAGGGAGGGTGTGGGCCCAACCCTGGTGTTAGGAACTTTGGGGGTTATACCCGGGGTGTTAGTGGGGGGGGGCCATCCGGGTGTTGGGAGGGTTGGGGCACCCTGGTTTTAGTGGATGGTGGGGGTCACACCGGGTGTTAGTGGACTGGTGTGGGTCCATCCGGTGTTAGTGGACATGGGTCACATCCGGGGTTTTTTAGGGGACTGGGTGGGGGGACCCTGGGTGTTGTGGACTGGGGGCCAAAACCTGGGTGTTAGGAATATGTAGGTCACATCCGGGGTGTTAGGGGAAAGGGTGTGGGTCAATCCGGGGTTTTTAAAATTTGTGTGGGCAATCCTGGGGTTTAGTGGACTAGGTGGTCACACCCGGGGTGTTAGTGAACTATGGGGGTGGCATCCGGGGTTTTTAGGGGACTGGTTGGGTATCCGGGGTTTAGGGCGGGTGGGGGTCAATCCTGGTTTAGGACTAGTGGGGGTCACATCGGGTTTTTGGGGGCGGGTAGGGGTCACACCCTGGGGGGTTAGGGATAGTGTGGGTCACATCCTGGGTTTAGTGGACTATGTGGGCACTCCTGGGGTTAGGGGTTTGGGTTGTGGTCACACCCTAAGTTTTTGTGGATGGTGGGGGGCACTCCTGGGTTTGTGTGGTGTGGGTTGACCAGGGTTTTAGGGACGGTGTGGGGCACCGGGGTGTTAGGGGATAGGGGGTCACTCCGGGGTTTTTAGGGGACATGGGGGTCACCCCGGGGTGTTAGTGGACTAGGGGTTCACCCGGGTGTTAGTGGACGTGGGGGTACACCCTGGGTGTTAGTAAAACAGTGTGGGGGGCACCCGGGGTGTAGTACTGTGTGGGTCACACCCTGGGTGTTAGGAGGGTTGGGGGTTCACACCCGGGGTTTGTTAGGGGATTGGGGTGGGTCATACCGGGGTGTTAGTGGACTTTTGTGGGTACATTTTGGGTGTTAGGGAGGGTTTGGGGGTCACATTTGGGGTTTAGGGGAGGGTGTGGGTACATCCTGGGTGTTATTGAACTTGTGGGGGGCACCTGGTGTTAGGGATGGTGGGGGGTCCATCCTGGTGTTTGGGATGGTGGGGGTGGCATCCGGGTGTTAGTGGACTGGGGGTGGGGGGCACCTGGGTTTAGTGGCGGGTGTGGGTGGCATCCTGGGTGTTAGTAGACTGGTGTGGGTGGCATCCTGGGTTTTTAGTAAACGGGTGGGGTGGCATCCTGGTGTTAGAAACTGGTGTGGGGGGCATCCTGGGACATAACAAGGGGATTTTCTTTGAAAGTATTCATGATGTCACTAGGTCTTTTCCTTGTACATGTACTGGTATTTTGACGTACTTGTATACTTGTACAGAAATTTGTATACCTTGTACATTTATTTGTATACCTTTTCAGAAGGGTATACCTTGTACAGTAGGGTATACTTGTAATTACTGGGGGGCCTTGTCATGTATTTGTATACCATTTATTTGTATACTTGTACATGTACTTATAAAAGCTTGTACTTTTACGGGTATCCCTTTACTGTACTGGTGTACCTTGTAATGTCTTATAACCGTAATTTACTGTATCCTTTACATTTTACTGGTGTCCCTTTGTACATCTACTTGTATACCTTGTAAGTACTGTATCCCTTGTAAATGTTTTTTGTATACCTTGTACTGTTTGATACCTTGTACATGATTTTTTCCCTTGAACAGTATGGTAACCTTTGAATGTAGTTGTATCCCTTGTACATGTCTGGTATACCTTGTACGAACTGGTAACTTGTACATGTACGGGTGTACCTTGTAAGTATTTTTAACCTTTACATAACTGGTATACCTTTTGACATGTACGGGTATCCTTTGACATTACGGTGTACCTTGTACATGTAGGGATCCCTTGACATGTGTTTTATACCTTGTACAGTAGTTGTATCCTGTACAGTACGGGTATACCTGACAGTATGGTTCCTGACATGCGGGTATCCTGTATATTATGGTATACCTTGTACATGTACTGGTATACCTTGTACTTTGGTAACCTTTGTAAGATTGGTATACCTTGCACATTGTCATGCCCCAGGGTTAACCTTCTTTAATATTACATTGGGGTTTTTCCTTTAATAGCAAATTTGGGAAAATGAACCCCTTGTATTATTAAGGCTAATTCTTTTTAAACAATTATTATGATTTATGTAACTGGCCATGATAATTTAATTGAGGAAATTTCCTCCTGCCCCCCCCGGGTGCCGGTTAGTTAGCCTGATGTTCGAGGTTATACCCCCCCTTTCCCCCCCCCCTTTTAGTTAACTACTCTAGAGTGTTGGTGAGCCCGTCAGTCCCCACTTTCCCGAAAATGTAAAGGGTTGGGACGAGAGAAGAAGAAAACACCCGAGAAACCCCCGGGCTCGTCTCGGTAACGCCAAGGTTTATTACCCGGCCTGGAATATTCTTTTTTTTCTGATGCTTCCCAATTTGGGAAAAAAAGATTTAAAACTTTAAAGTTCCCCAGTTAATAATGTTATATCTAGATCCCTCCAAATTCTTTTATGAAAGCCTATGTATATGTTGGTCTAAGAAAAACCTGATTCTTAATTATTTAAAAGAAATTCGTAAAATTATTTTTGGGTTTTGTTGTATTATAATAACTTTTTAAAAATTTGGATTCCGAGGTCACTAATTTTTACCCAACCTCTTGACCAAAAAATTTTTTCCTAAAAAGGAAATATTTTACAATAATTTGGGTGTAACACCCCAAAGTACTGGGTAACCTTTTAATGTACTTGTATACCCTTTTAATTTACTGGTTGTACCTTGTACTTGACTTTTTACCTTGTAATGTACGGTGTACCTTTAATTAAATTGTATACCTTGTAATGTATATGTACCGTAAATGTACTTGTTACCCTTTTCTGTACTGGTGTACCCTTTCTGTACTGGGTACCCTTTTACATTATTGTAACCCTTTTACATGTCGTTACCCTTTTACATGTCTTTTTACCTTGTACATGTACTGGTGTACCTTTTACATTACTTTTAACTTTTACATTTCTGGTGTACCCCTTTAAAGTACTGGGGTACCTTGGGACTGTACTGGTATACCTTGTACATGTACGGTATACTTGACATGTACTGGGTTTCCTTTACATTTACATTATACCTTTACATTACTTGTATACCCTTTTACATGTACTGGTGTACTTTTCATGTACTTTTATCCTTGTACTGTACTGGTACCTTTTACTTACTATTATCCTTGTAAGACTGGGGTACCTTGTACGTATGGTAAAACCTTTTACATGTACTGGTATATTTACAGTATGGGAACCTTGTAATGTACTATTATACCCTTTAATGTACTTTTATACCTTGTACATGTATGGTGACCTTTTTTTTACTTGTATACCTTTTACATGTATGGGGACCCTTTACGTAGGGTCCTTTACAGTACTGGTATCCTTTACAGTATGGATACCTTGTACATGTATGGGGTACCTTGTACAGTCTATTATACCTTGTAATTTTTGGTTACCTTGTACATGTACTGGGGTACCTTATAATGTCTTGTATACCTTTTTACAAAAACTGGGGTACTTGTACAGTCTGGTATACCTTGAAACACTGGGATTCCTGTACATTTTCTGGATACCTTTTTACTTTTCTTTGTACCTTTTAAGAAATATTTTCCTGTACATGTACGGTTACCTTTTCATGTACGGGTCCTTATACAGTAAAATTGTTTCCTTGTAAATTTTCTGGTGTACTTTTACATTAATGGTGTACCTTTTTTCATGTACTTGTAACCTTTACATTTTCTTTTACCTTTCTGTACTTGATACCTTTTCATGTATTTTTAATTTGTAAATGTTTGTAACCTTGTACAGACTAGTTCCCCTGTACTGTACTTGTAACCCTTTACATTACTTGTAACCTTTACATGTACTTGTATAAACCTTTTACATGTGTGTATCCTTGTAATGTAGGTATACTTCGTACATGTACTTTTTTGACTCACAAATCTAATACACGATTTCAAACAAACCTTACCACGGGAGGGTTTGAACCCGGGCAGAGAGTCCCAAAAAATTTCCCCACCACGCTTAGCCCTGGGCCAGCTACCACAACGGCTAACGCGACGGTTGGGGTTTGAGACCTTGACCCCCGGGGTTTAAAACCGCCTGTGGTTTTTATTACTTGTTACCTTTAATTTTTGTATCCTTTACATGTCTGGATACCCTTTTACATTACTTTTTAACCCTTTTCATTACTGTAAAATAAAGTGCACACTGACCCACGATGAAAAACAATACTAGGGCCCAATTTCACCACTCAACCCATCTGGTAGCTGAACTCTGGTATAGAACTATGTCAATGACAAGTACATGGTGCAAAATTATACGACCATAGCCACATCAACGCTATATAGAGAGACCCTTATTTTGTAAAAATTTTTCATAATTAGGTCAATTTTTTTTCCCCCGGGGCCACCCATACCATCACCTAAACCAGGTACCTATTTTACTGCAAGGTGAACACTGACAAAGGGTAAAGGGGACTAAAAACCAGGTACCCCTTTTTCAGGGGAACCCGACACAGGTAAGGGAACTAAAGACAGGTACCTATACTCTAGGGGAACCGACAGAGTTAAAGGGGAAAATGTACAGTACCTACTTTCGTAGGGAAATGACAGAGGGGAAGGGCTAACACCCAGGTACCTACCCACTGCAATTACCTGAAGGGGACCGGGGGTCAACTCCTCACGTGGGCCATGACTAGGCCTTTCCCGGGAGTCAACCTATCAACCCGGGTTTTTACTGCTGGGCCCCAAAATAATTAACATTAACCAACCCGGCTGGTCAGGTAGCTTTTGGGGCCGTTCCAACCCCTTTTTTAAGACAACCCTGGGGTCTTTTAAACAATGGGGGTCTTAAAAACACCAGGGGGCTTGAAAACAACCCCCGGGGCTTGGGAAACAACCAGGAGTCTTTACAACCAGGGTCTTGAAGACCCAGGGTCTTGAAGAAAAAATGGGGGGCTTGAAGACAAACCCGGGGTCTTGAAGACAACCCGGGGGCTTTAAGAAACCAGGGTCTTGAAGCAACCGGGGTCTTTAAGACAAACCCCGGGGGCTTGAAACAACCCGGGGGCTTTACAACCGGGGGCTTAAACAAAACCGGGGGCTTGAAGACAACAGGGGGCTTGAAGACAACATGGGGGCTTTTACAACCCGGGGTTTTTAACGACAACCCGAGTTTTTTTGGATTCCCCCTTTCGCTGTTGGGAGGGTTGAACAGTCTTGGACTGCAGACACTTACTGTATTTTCTCTTAGTGTACTAATGGGATATGTTACAATACCCCCTACCCCCAGCAGGTGTCTTAAGTAAACACATCCTAATATTTCCGCCCATACCAGGTACTGAACCCAGGACCCCAGTGTGAGGGGCAGGTGTGCTACCAACCTAGCTACGGGACACCTATTAGGTATAGTACTTCCCTGGTAAACTATAAAGTATGTATTAAGACCATACAGTGTATGTATTAAGACCATACAGTGTATGTATTAAGACCATACAGTGTATGTATTAAGACCATACAGTGTATGTATTAAGACCATACAGTGTATGTATTAAGACCATACAGTGTATGTATTAAGACCATACAGTGTATGTATTAAGACCATACAGTGTATGTATTAAGACCATACAGTGTATGTATTAAGACCATACAGTGTATGTATTAAGACCATACAGTGTATGTATTAAGACCATACAGTGTATTATTAAGACCATCAGTGATGTATAAGACCTACAGTGTATGTATTAAAAACCATACAAGTGTATGTATTAAGACCATACAGTGTATGTATTAAGACCATACAGTGTATGTATTAAGACCATACAGTCTGTATTAGGTACAGTACTCACCTGGTAAACCACCCAGGGCATTAAAACACAGACAAGTGTCCTCTATAACCAGCGGACGCTTGATCAATTCAGCCGCTGCTTGACATTTTTTGCGAGCGACCTCGTCTGCTTCACCTTGGTACTCTGGCAGGTCAATTTTGCGACTTTCAACCCTGTCAATTACAATACAATCACAATACAACTCAAAATAGAAAAGATGAGCAGACAAGTGATTTGATGGTGTATAGTTTACTGGGTTTACTGGGAAAGGTGGTTCTGTGTTTGAGGCTTTGACATCTACAGCAGTTGTTGTGTGTGTGTGTGTGTGTGTGTGTGTGTGTGTGTGTGTGTGTGTGTGTGTGTGTGTGTTAGGAGACAAACAGTTTCCAGGATTTCATCACAATACAACTCAAAATAGAGAGGATAGAGCAGAATAGGGTGACTTGGAAGGTGTATAAGTGTGTATCAATCATCCTGGGGTATAGGTGGTTTAGTGTGTAAGGGGTTGGACATGTAGTGTGTGTGTGTGTGTTAGTGGAAACAAATGGTTTCTGGGATTTGAGAAGCTGTTGGAGTGCTTGCAGGGTAACATTGTGAAGGGATTCAGGGGAACAGGTTGGCCAGACTTGAGTCCTGGAAGTAGGATATACAGTGCCTGCACTTTAAAGGAAAAGTTTGGGATATTTGCTGTTTATAGTGACATGTAACCTGTCTTATCTAACAAAATAGTGACGGTGTGAATGATGGTGGCAGTGTTTCTTCATTTTTGGGTCACCCCGCCAATGTGTACATATACAGTGGAACCTCGGCTAACGAATTTAATCCGTTCCGTGGACTTGTTCATATCCTGATTTGTTCGTATGCTGAGTCAATTTTCTGCATTTAACCCTTTGACTGTCGCGGCCGTATATATACGTCTTACGAGGTACTGTGTTTGACGTATATATACTCATAAATTCTAGCGGCTTCAAATCAAGCAGGAGAAAGCTGGTAGGCCCACATGTGAGAGAATGGGTCTGTGTGGTCAGTGTGCACCATATAAAAAAAATCCTGCAGCATGCAGTGCATAACGAGAAAAAAAAAACTCCGACCGTTTTTTTTTAATTAAAATGCCAACTTTGTGGTCTATTTTCGTATAGTATTTATGGTTGTATTCTCGTTTTCTTGGTCTTGTTTGATAGAATGGAAAACATATTATAGAAATAGAGGTGATTTTGATTGGTTTTACTATAAAAAGAACCTGGAAACGGAGCTCAAAGTAGGGGAAATGTTTGAATTTTGCCGATGTTCAAAAGAAAACAAATGATGCCATTGTCCAATAAATGTCCAACTAGCCATTCTAATATGCAGTCATGAATGGGTTGATGTTATTTATACAATTATTACAATATTGCAGTAGTCTGCATAACAGTAAATCTTCTATTTTTTATTTGAATAAATATTCAAAATAGAAAGCAAGAGTAATATCAGAGGGGCCTGGAGACATGACTGATGAACAAAGAAAATGTTATTTTAGAGCCAGGAATGTCTGCATTGTTCATTCTGGTCCTCATTTTGAAATTGTCATATCTTTTAATTTTCGTGAAATTGGTCAAATTGCAAATTTCTGACCACATTATTGGGTAGTTGAAATTGGTAAATGGGCAGTTTCTTGTACTCAATCGATAGAAAAAAATGGAGTTCTAAAGAAATAGCTATGAGTTTGGTTGACTGGAACAATGGAATTAGCCAAAAATAGGGCTCAAAGTGGGCGAAATGGCCAATTCGTAAATATCGCCGAGGTCGCTAACTTCACGAGAGTGTAATTCCATCAGTTTTCCATCAAATTTTGTTCTTTTGGTGTCATTACAATCAGGAAAAGATTCTCTATCATTTCAAAAGAAAAAATAATTTTCTTTTTTTTTTTAATTTTGCGACACCAGGAGACACCTCAGGATCTGGGGTTGCGACAGTCAAGGTTAAATGATCAAAATTGACTCTGCAAACGAGCAAATCGGTGGGAGACGGCTGACTTGTTGAAAATATATATATATATATATATATATATATAATATATACAGTGGACCCCCGGTTAACGTTTTTTAATCCGTGCAAGAGGGCTCATCGTTATGCGAAATAATCGTTATGCGAATTAATTTTCCCATAAGAAATAATGGAAAAAAAATTTAAAATCCGTGCAAGACGCCCAAAAGTATAAAAAAAAATTTTTTTTTTTCCACATGAAATGTTAATTTTAATACACACAAACTGAAAAGGCATGCACAATTAACATGACACTTACTTTTATTGAAGATCTGGTGATGATTGATGGGATGGGAGGAGGGGAGAGCATTATCTTCTTACTGTTTAAAAGGGGGAATCCCCTTCCATTGGGACTTGAGGTAGAAAGTCCTTTTCGGGGGTTTTACTTCCCTTCTTCTTTTAATGCCACTGGGACCAGCTTCAGAGTCACTGGCCCTCTTTTGGGCACAACAAATCTGTCCATAGAGCTCTGTACCTCCCGTTTCTTCAAGATTTTCCTAAAATGGGCCATAACATGTCATTGAAATAGTCACAACACGGCTTCAACAGCGTGTCAGGGTGATTTTCATCTATAAAGGTTTGCATTCAAACCCCTCTGCACACATTTCCTTAATTTTTAAGTAGGCACAATGGATTCCACAACTGGGAAAAGGCTTCTCAGGGTTAGCCCCAAACCCTTCAAAATCTTCTTAATTTTCCATACTAATTCTCACCCTTTTACCACAGGTTGGCACTAGAAGCTTTTCTTGGGGCCCATGGTCCTTATTTTCCAGAAAAAACCACCGAAAACACTGTAATAATACGAAATATTCCGAGTGTATGCTTGGATGTTACCGCGGAGGTGGCTGGAAACAAGGGGAGGGCCGGCACATGTGGGGGCACATTGGACGCGTCTCGGACGAAAATCGGTAGGGCGGGTTTTTAATCGGTATGCGGGGCAAAAAATTTTGCGATAAAAGTAATCGTTATGCGGAAAAATCGCTATGCGATGCCATCGTTATGGGGGGGGTCCACTGAAAATATAAATATATATATAAAATATATATATATATTTTATATATATATATATATATATAAATATATTATAAAATTTATATATATATATATTATATATATATGAATACATACATTTATGTAAATAAATAGTAGCAGTTGGTTGTTACCTAAAGGGGAAAGAGTCACCCAGTATAGCCAGGACCTCCTCTAGCTTCTTAGTGTTGCCAGTAACAAACACCAGGGGTCTAGTGGACCCCATACTGCAACACTAGTACTGCAACACCAGCCAGTTCCTGCAACACAAGCAACATCAGTAAATGGTGAAAGTTAACTTATTCAACTTCAATTTGCCCTCAACTCTTCTAATTATTTCCTTGAATTGGTATTGATAAAGCCACTGGATGGCGAAACATCTACAGTAATGATACCCAGATGTTACACGTGTCTAATTTTCTTCAATTTTGCTAGTATTGTGTACCACTCGTGTACAACATTAACCTCGGCCTAACAGCCGACCAGCTAGTAACTGATTTCATTAACAGTATGAACAACACAGTACTCATACCAGCTATAACAAGACTGAGACAAGTGCGACTATAATTAACCACATACTCGACCCCATTAAAGCGGAGATAATCACAGACAACATTACTGACCACTACTCCACCTTCCTCTTAACAAACATTAGTAAACAACCAATGGAATATAACAAGGTGTCTTTTAGACTCCATGATGAGGCATCAGTAACCTCACAACAGAGCTAAGTACAGTTGACTGGACTACACAATTCACCAATGTCAACGGTATCAATGACTGGATAGACATATTTCTTAACAAATTACTTATACTATATAACAAACATTGTCCCATAAAAACTAAACAGATCACTAATAAAAGACTAAGTTGCCCATGGCTTACTAACACCATTTATTCATTTATTTATTTATTCATGTCTTTGCAAATAGTTCATTGAGATTATGTATTTACAATAGTGGGTTGTAATACAAAGATCCTCTATTATGCCCGGGCATTATGCCTGGGTATTATGCCTGGGCATTATGTATTTACAATAGTGGGTTGTAATACAAAGATCCTCCAACACTTTCCTGACACTACTCAGCAAGGGATACACCAGTACACAAAGGTGGTGACCCGACAGATGTAAACAATTATAGGCCAATATCAAACTTGTCTTTACTTTCCAAAATCTTTGAGTCATACACAAGAGATTATATTCCTTCATAACATCACAAAGCATCCACAACCACTGCCAGTTTGGCTTCAGGAGAGACAAAAGCACAAATGATGCAATTATAATAATGCTAGACCTACTTTACACAGCACTGGAAAAAACGAATACAGTGGACCCCCGGTTTACAATCAGCTCCCAATGCGACCAATTATGTAAGTGTATTTATGTAAGTGCATTTATATGTGTATGTTTGGGGGTCTGAAATGGACTAATCTAATTCACAATATTCCTTATGGGAACAAATTTGGTCAGTACTGGCACCTGAACATACTTCTGGAATGAAATAATATCGTAAACTGGGGGTCCACTGTATTTGCTTGGACTCTTTATCTACCTTAAGAAAGCTTTTGATACAGTAGATCACAGCATCCTACTCCACAAGCTTGATAACTAGGGTATACGAAGCCATGCTCTTACATATATCAAGTCTTACCTTACTAATAGACATCAATACGTCTCTATTAAGAACAAAACCTCATTAACAAGACTCCTGGACACTGGTGTACCACAGGGAAGCATTCTTGGTCCCCTACATTTCCTGTTATGCATCAACGACCTCCCAAATGTATTGCAACAACTAAGACCTATTCTCTTTGCTGACGACATGACTGACGACATGACTCATGTCATCTCCCACCATAATCTTGCCTCTCTCGATACTATTATTAATGAAGACCAAGTAAAAATATTGACCTGGATGACTGTCAATAAACTTAAACTTAATATAGATAAAATCTTCTACATTATGTCTGGGAACAGAACAGGTGATGCCCAACTGAACATTATCATTAACAACACTATTATTGCTAAACATAATGAGGGAAAACTTCTGGGCCTGCACCTTGATAGCAACCTAAAATTCAGCACCCATATCCAACACACAACAAGAAAAGTATCTAAAACAGTTGGGATCCTCTCTAAGATACATTACTATGTAGTACCACAAGCAGCACTACTGACACTATACTATTCACTGATCTATCACTACCTCAACTATGCTATCTGTGCCTGGGGATCAACTGCAGCAACACACCTAAAGCCAATAATAACCCAACAAAAAGCCACAATAAGAATTATCACACAGTTCACTGCAAGACAACACCCCGTCCTCCCTCCCACTCTTCAAAGACCTAAACTTACTGTACACAACATTCACACCTACTACTGTGCAACCTACATTAACAGAACAATCATTTCTAATATTAACCCTGACCTGAAGCACTTTCTTGACAACTGCCAAGAAAGTGCTTCAGGTCGGGACCCCTAGACATAGCACTAGGCACAAAATTATGACATTCCCCGTGTCAGACTAAATCTCTTCAAAAACTCAGTGTACATCAAAGGGCTCAAAATCTGGAAATCTCGGCTAGAAATCTCCAGAAGAAGAAGAAAGTTTTTCTTCAGATTTTTAACCCTGGAGGGTTAGCCACCCAGGATAACCCAAGAAAGTTAGTGCATCATCGAGGACTGTCTAACTTATTTCCATTGGGGTCCTCAATCTTGTCCCCCAGGATGCAACCCACACCAGTAGACTAAAACCCAGATACCTATTTGCTGCTAGGTGAATAGGACAACAGGTGTAAGGAAACACGTTGAAATGTTTCCACCTGCTGGGAATCGAACCCGGGCCTCAACTAAAATTTTCAAAACTACAAATAAAAAACACCTTATCTCCTTAACCTACCCCAGCCCATCATAAATACATATGTAAAAACTACACATGCATTTGATCAATAACATGAACGTAGGTAAAACATTATAATCAATATAAACTTACTCTCAATATCTGTAATCCTCTCAAATGTTAATCATTCCATTGTGTTCACTTTAGGTTAATAATCAAAAACTGTAATTCCTCTCCATCTAACTTATTAAAGTCACATAGCACAAACTAATATAACACAGCTTCTCCTCACTTAGCGACGTACTCATTTACAGACGCCTCAGACTTATGATGGGCTCTCTGGCCAGTACTTGTTATACCTAAATAATGTATAATAGAGCTGATTTCCTCTATTCTGTTTATTACAACATACACAAATAACCCGCTTCTCTCTTTTATGTGCGGGTTATTTGTGTATCGTTCCAGTCACGGTATTGTGCCTTGTTTTGTTATTTATTACAATATACTGTATGCTACTGTATAAACATTTAAAAATATACCAGAAATGTTACATATGGTGCACAGGTGACATTAAAATAATATCAAAGATGGCTGACACAAACCCGCTACCATTATATTATGCTCCTCACTTAGCAATGATTTTGTTTACCAATGTGGTCTTAGGAATGGAACTCCATCGTTATGTTAGTCTTAAGTTTGCTGGACATGATCTTCAGTGTGACTTACAGCACGAACACCCAATGTTGTACTCCAGAGTACATTGTGTCATGTTGAACACCCAATGTTGTACTCCAGAGTACATTGTATCATGCTGAAATACAGTGGACCCCCGCATAGCGACTTTAATCCGTGCAAGAGGGCTCATTGTTATGCGAAATGATCGGTATGCGAATGAATTTTCCCCATAAGAAATAATGGAAATCAAATTAATCCGTGCAAGACACCCAAAAGTATGAAAAAAAAAAAAATTTACCACATGAAATGTTAATTTTAATACACACAAACTGAAAAAGGCATGCACAATTACATGACACTTATTTTATTGAAGATCTGGTGATGATTGATGGGATGGGAGGAGGGGAGAGAGAGTGTTAGTGTTTAGAAGGGGAATCCCCTTCCATTAAGACTTGAGGTGTCGAGTCCTTTTCTGGGGTTACTTCCCTTCTTCTTTTAATGCCACTAGGACCAGCTTCAGAGTCACTGGACTTCTTTCGCACAACATATCTGTCCATAGTGGCCTGTACCTCTCGTTCCTTTATGACTTCCCTAAAGTGTTTCACAACATTGTCAGTGTACAGGTTGCCAACACGGCTTGCAGTAGCTGTGTGAGGGTGATTTTCATCCATGAAGGTTTGCACTTCAAGCCACTTTGCACAGATTTCCTTAATCTTTGTTAGTAGGCAACTTCTTCCAATTCTCTCTCCCTCCTCTGAACCAGTTTCCTCAGGTCTGGCCTCTTGCTGTTGAAGATGATCTAGCAGCTCATCAGTGGTTAGTTCTTCATTGTCCTCCTCCACCAACTCTTCCACATCCTCCCAACTAACCTCCAACCCCAAGGACTTCCCCAATGCCACAATGGATTCCTCAACTGGCATAATCCTCTCAGGGTTAGCCTCAAACCCTTTAAAATCCCTTTTGTCTACACATTCTGGCCACAGTTTCTTCCAAGCAGAGTTCAAGGTCTTCTTAGTCACTCCCTCCCAAGCCTTACCTATAAGGTTTACACAATTGAGGATATTAAAGTGCTCTCTCCAAAACTCTCTTAGAGTCAGTTGAGTTTCTGAGGTCACTACAAAGCACCTTTCAAACAGAGCTTTTGTGTACAGTTTTTTGAAGTTTGCAATAACCTGCTGGTCCATGGGCTGCAGGAGAGGAGTGGTATTAGGAGGCAAAAACTTCACCTTAATGAATTTCATGTCCCCATAAAGTCGCTCTGCCACGTCTGTAGGATGACCAGGGGCATTGTCTAACACCAGGAGGCACTTAAGTTCTAATTTCTTTTCAGTTAGGTAATCTTTCACATTGGGGGCAAATGCATGGTGTAACCAGTCATAGAAAAAGTCCCTTACTGTTTGCCCTCCACAGCACACACAAATTCTCCTTGAGGACATTCTTTTGCCTGAACGCTCTGGGAGTTTCAGAGTGATACACTAATAAAGGCTTAACTTTGCAATCACCACTAGCATTGGCACACATCAACAAAGTAAGCCTGTCTTTCATAGGCTTATGTCCTGGGAGTGCCTTTTCCTCCTCAGTAATGTAGGTCCTGCTTGGCATTTTCTTCCAGAACAGGCCTGTTTCATCACAATTAAACACTTGTTCAGGTTTCAGTCCTTCACTGTCTATGTACTCCTTGAATTCCTGCACATATTTTTCAGCTGCTTTGTGGTCCGAACTGGCAGCCTCACCATGCCTTATCA